AGGCAGAGTCACATTCAGGTTCAGACGTGTTACGTATGTCGTGTACATCATTGCAATTTGATATTTCTTTGGACGTTTTCGTTTGTTATCTTATTAAGTTGTTGAGTTTGTCGTTGTTATTGTTATACCTTGTTATTGATTGTTATTGTTATCAACTGCTTGCGCAAAATGCCCAGTAGTACAGATACTGCCGATGAAGGTTCTAAACATTAATTCCAGGGGGCAGATAAAACGTATTACTAGTAACAAAACTTTTATAACTTTCGATAAAATGCGTGGATGTTTTATTGTCATTTTCATTTGTTAGAACTTTTTTAAGCCATGTTTTTATGTGTTTTCGATATTTCAATAATTTTTTAATATAATCTTAAAATATGTCGAATATTATAAACCTCAAAAAAGTTAAAGTTTTATATTGTGAACCGTTCCTAATATTTCTAATCATTTTAATTCATACTTTAAGCTTTATAAAGTTATAATTTGTTAATATTAATATTTGCGCGTATTTCAGGTTCCTGATCATTCATTTTTTAAAGGTTTATAACTTTAAATTAAATTGTGAAGCACTGAGTAATCATACGACGTTCAATATTCTTTCTTTCAATATGACTAAATAATCCCAATTATAGCAATCTGATACTCATGTCTCAATGTTTTTTCGCTGAATGTGATGAAAACATTTGAAAAAGGTTCGCTTATTGAAATAAATCTACACCAGTTAGTACTTCGATTTCCAGGTAAAGGGAAAAGGCTCATTATCTGCCATATTGGCAGTGAGGATGGATTTGTTGTTGACGGTCTGTGGTACTTTGAGTCTAAGAAAACTGGAGATTACCACGAGTAAATGGATGGCGAATCGTTTGAACAGTGGTTTTCAAAAATTTTACCGAACTTAGAGGAAAACGCAGTAATTTTTTTTTATAATGCGCCTTATCATTCTCGAAGAATGGAGAAGGTCCCAACAACGGCTTCAAGGAAAGTTGATGTTCAAAATTGGCTCCGCTCGAAAAATATCAACTTTGAAGAAGCAATGCTGAAAGTACAATTATTAAGAATTGTCAAGGATCACAAGGCGGAATATCAAAAATACGCCATTGACGAAATGGCTGCAAGTCAAAATAAAACTGTGCTCCGTTTACCTCCATACCATTGCGAGCTCAATCCCATTGAGCTCATATGGGCAGAGGTTAAAAATTATATAGCTAAGCACAATACAACTTTTAAATTTTGTGACCTCAAAGGACTTTTCAAAGAAGCACTAGAATTAATAACAGCGCAAAAATGGGAAAACTGTATTAAGCATAAAGCTCATCAAGCTCATCTTTCCAATAAAAGATGTCGTTCATCAAATTCGGTAAGTTATAAGTAATTATAAAGCTACTGTATTTTTTAATTAATTATTGACATTTTTGAACCCATTTTGGCAAAACCTATTCAAGAATCTACTTTCTGACAATGTTCAACCATGCACATTTTTTTACGTTTTGAACGTTTTAATTTGGTTACATATTTACCTAGAAATCAAAAAATATACTAATCAATATTCTAAAAGCAATTTTAAGAGATATACGATTATTTTTAATTTAGGCTAATTTAAACGCCATTTTGAGATTATATTCGACTGTATTTCACCAAACATCAGGCGGCATCCGAAGCTGGAAATCGAAGCGAAAATTTTGAAACCCTTATGTATATTTACATCATTATATATTTCTTACCCCACCCCCACATGATCCTATATCCATCACCAATCGTATACACATCGAATTGTGCTAATTTACTACAAAGTTACGCAAAGCAGCATCTACTATCTAAAATATGTACTGCGTGACTCTTAATACGTCCCTGCCGAATGTTACAGCGTTCGATGATCACGTGGTCTTGTTTATGTCCGGTCTATCTCTTATCTGAATATACTGTAGGTGTTTAAAAATGGATTAGAACAAGGAAGCTGAGTTGCCTTGACAGCTAGCTGTAAAGGATAAGCAGGAGATATAATAAATACAGGGTGAGCCAAAAGAAGATTCTCTTTTGTTTTTTAAATAAAACCGCGGAAGCGATGGAGGATGGCACCGTTCGATTGCGTGATTTATGCACTTACAGAAGCCATGAGTTAATTCACGGGGCAACAGCGCGCCTTCATGGTACAAGCTTTCTTTGAGAGTAGTGGTTCTTATGTCACTGTGCGACGTTTATTTCGAGTCAAATATGGATTGCGGCGTGTTCATCAATACCCTAACACTAATTCAATGAAGCAATGGTCGGAGAGGTTTCAAGAAACCGATATTGCCAACAAGACGTCAAGGTCGCCCGCGGATCAAACAATAGAGGAAGTGAGTGAATCTGATCGAGTCGATCCAGAGCTTTCAACTCGTAGACGTTCAGCGACTATTGAATATTGCTCGTACTAGTTTGAGACGAATGTTGAAGCGTGTCTTGAAACTTCATCCATATAAGATTCAAATCGTCAAAGATCTAAAGGACACTGACCTTAAAAAGAGATTTGGTTTGTCAGTGTTACTACTTATGCGGTTTTGTGATTTGGGAAACACCATTTTCAGACGAAGCTCACTTTCATTTGAACGGTTTTGTGAACAAGCAAAACTTCAGAACGTTATGGTCGAACGCTGAGACAGAGACTCCAAGATTTTGTTGGATGCAAGTCCATGACGTAGTTTCAACAGAACGTTACCTGTCACACATCCAACGTAAGCTTGGGCGTCGTACAGGAAACTGATTCGTCCCCACCCGATTTCTTTTTATGAGAAGCATTTTGGCCTTTCAAATGCAAGTGAGTAATCACTTTAACAACAACACCAATGCATTGAAAGTTGATTTAAATGTCAAAAATGTTTTACAAAGTCTACATTCATTTTATCGAAGCGAATAAACAGATCATTTAAGTTGTATTATGCTATACACAAATAATTTTGCTAAGAAGACAATTTCGACATAAAAACGTTTTAAAAATAGCCGAGTCCGTTTAGTTATCTTTCCATAAACATTTAAAGAAAACAAAAATATTATTTTTGAAATAAAATATTAATTAGCCCTCAAATAGGTTTATAAGTATTATGTTTTGGCGCGTTGAACCAACTTCACTGAGACAGTGCTCGTATATATACTATACTAAAGGGTTGTCCAATAGGGACGCAGGAAAGTAAACGTCAATTTGACATAGACGCCATCTTTGTTTTCTGTCACCGACATGTCATTTTGTTAGTTGAATGTTTACCATTGATCGCTATGGAGTCGTATTCGATTGAAGACCGCATTAAAGTTATTCAAGAGCACTACAAAAATGGTGCAAAAATAAAAAACACGTTTCGCGCGCTTCGTGAACATTTTGGTCGCAACAACCGCCCAAGCGAAACAACCGTCGGTCGTCTGGTGGGTAAATTCGAGGCAACAGGTTCTGTGGCAAATCTGCCAGGCTCTGGCCGGCCAAGGAGCCTTCGCACACCGGAAAATATTGCTGTTGTGAAGGAGAGTGTGAGAGACGATCCGAAACAATCAACAACGCGTCGATCTCAAGAATTGGGCATTTCGAGAACCAGTTTGCTCCGCATTCTCTACAAGGATTTGAATGTACACGCCTACAAGATCCAATTGACGCAAGAGCTGCGTCGGGCCGACCATTTTTCTCGCCGAACGTTTTCAGATTGGCTCCTTGAACACCGCCAAATTGATGCCAATTTTTCATCAAAAATCATGTTCAGCGACGAAGCGCATTTCACTTTGAATGGGACGGTAAACAAGCAAAACAGCCGCATCTGGGCGAACGAAAATCCCCGTGAGTATCAAGAGCAGCCGATGCATCCTCAAAAAGTGACTGTGTGGTGTGCGTTGTGGTCAAAAGGTGTCATCGGACCTTACTTTTTCGAAAATGCGGCCGAGGACGCCGTTACCGTCAATTCTGAGCAATATCTCGTGATGATAGAGGACTATTTTTTGCCGCAACTTGAAGGAATGGATATGGACGATGTTTATTTCCAACAAGACGGTGCAACATGCCACACAACCAACGTCAATATCCATCGATTGCAGTCCTTCTTCGGTGATCGCGTGATTTCGCGCAGAGGAAATGTGCCATGGCCACCAAGATCGTGCGATTTGACTCCCTTGGACTTCTTTTTATGGGGATATTTGAAAAGCAAAGTCTACGTCAACAAACCAGCCACCCTCCAAGGACTCAAAAACAACATCATTGCCGAGATAAATTCCATAGAACCGACCATGTTGCAAAATGTCATTGAAAATTTCGACCATCGCGTGGACGTCTGTAAATCCAGTCGTGGTGAACATTTGAGCGATATTATTTTTCATACATAAATGGTATAAATGCACCTTCAAAATAAAGTACCCAACTTGATTTGAATATCAATCTTTCTTGTTTTAATATGCGTTTACTTTCCTGCGTCTGTTTTGGACAACTCCATATATACTGATTTTTGCTCTGTAAGTGGTATTACTGTCCCCAAATCCCGCCCGTCGTCTACGCATCTGGCGACGGCAGCGTAACGATTCCAATGACATTTGGAGCGTGCGCGCAAGTTTCGCGCCGCCCACCATCACTGACCTACATTACGAGCGAGGTCGATGACCTTTCGGGCTTTATTACAGCGAGCAACGCACGGCGCCCGCGCCCTGTTGCCGCTTCGCCCGCTTCTCGCCAAATCTGCCACACGCCGTGAGATCGTCGACTCCGGAAAGGTCAATGTAACTGGCGAGAGGTTTTACTTCCTAAATGGGATCGGCACCGGGTTTTCGTTGAAGGTCTGATAGGTTGCGGCGGGCTATCTTCGGGATGGAACGATGTACAAGCAAGACGATAGGTGATTCATCTATGGATTAATTAGTTGATTGCTTGGATATAAAAGGGATATTCATACGCCTTTACCTCTTGATCGGATAAGGGTCAACAGAAACGGATTTAAGTGAATGGATTTCGAGGTTTAAGAACTATAAGAACTACTAATTCATTTTGACATCATTTAAAAATGGGCATGATATTCTTGGTCAAGTCTTCTTCACTTCTTCACAGGTAAAATTAAGAAGTGTCTCCTAAGAGTTATACGCCAGCGTTGTCCTCTGATGAAGAAATAATACAACTAAAACTCCGATAATAAAAACGCTGCGGTTATTAAACCAAATTATAACAATGGCCTTCAAAAACTGAATAAAATGAACACCATACTTAAGCAAAAAAGTGAAATATGTTTGCATTCAAGGCGTACAAGCTCTTAGTCAAACATTTGAAGATGATACCGTTGTGACCGGTTACTTTCATTTAGCTACCTATTTCAATAGGCCAGGACATAATACCTTTATAGAAACAATTATTTTAATTACATACAATTCAAAGTGAGAAAGCCAAAAATATGATTGACAATATGCTTGCTTTCCAAAAAAATGAATAGATTTTAGATGTTTTTTTCAAATGTATCGGTAACTAAAACTTGACCATGGTGTATAGTTGATAAATTCATACTTCTGCCTTATTGAGAAGGAAAAATACAGCTATTATGGAATGATGATTTTTAATGTAACACCTGAAACTTATCCTGTGGTTTTCATCCAAACCACACAATATGCGTTCATTACAGTTTAATGTACGATATATAGTTATAATGTCACCATAGACCTCCTCTTGTCGCAGTTGAAAATAGAATCCTAGTCGTTTTCACGTTTTATTCTCAAAAACTCACAAAAGTATGCTGATTGATTTAATAATAATAATAGTAATAATAATGATAAAATGTCTTTATTAGGCACATTATATAAACTACAACATAATGTGACCTCTACGTAGGCGAAGTCTAGCTCTTGGCTACTCTACTTAACCTACCCAAATAATAAAATGAAATACTTAATTACAGGAAACTTTGACAAGCAGCAAAAGTCGCTTCAAAACAATGAGCTTGATAGCTTCCTGACATACATAATATATACACACATATATTACGTAAAAATAAAATAAAATGTAAGAATTAAAAACTAACACAATTACTACAATGACAAATAAATTTGTTTCAAATGCTTACGAAAGCTGTTTACTGGCCAATCCTTTATATTGTCATCTAATTCGTTATAAATCAGGATAGCATTGTAAGTGTATGAACTACGAAATAAAGTTGTTTTATATCTCTAGTCTTTTTTTGTATCTGAAATCAATGTCTGAATTATTTCGTCTGAAAACAAATTTCTCATAAAGATACAAGGGGATCGAGAAGATATGATCTTATGTGTAAACACTGCCATATGGTACTTGCAAGCATTTTCTATACACATCCAACCAAGCTGCAATCTCTTTAAGGAAACATGATCATACTTCTTGAGATTAAATACAAATCGACAACATCGAGTTTTTGCAGTCTTGCTTTTGTGATAGAATCAAGACAATGATAGAACACAGTGCTACAGTAAAATAAGCTTGGAAATATAATAGCCTCACATAACTTTTTTCTAACTTTAAAATTCAAAATAGAGCGATTGACATAAAAACACTTCAAAGTTGCATAAAATTTTTTTAAGATAGACGAAACATGCTCCTTAAACCGTAAAGTATAATCAATAATCAACCCTAAATTTTGTGTAGTATTTACGACAGCTAGACACTCCTTGTCGATTTTTACATCAAGAGAATTCAATATAGTGTTACGTTTGACAGCAGGACAAAAAAGCATCACTGAGCACTTATCCTTATTTAGCTTAAGATTGTTACCATTTGAGTATCCTACTATTGCCTCCAAATCATCATTAAGCTCATTGATTGAAGTATGTAAAGTGTTACTATTAAAGCTCTTATATATCTGTGCATCATCGGCATAGCACATCACAGAAGAGTTTTTCACAGAGCTACCCAAGTCTATAGTATAAATTAAGTACAACAAGGGCCCTAAAACTGAACCCTGAGAGACACCTGAAGTTATATCAATCGGACTAGATATATTGTTGTCTATCTCTACTACGATTTAAAATATATGTTATAAAAAACATTAGAGGTATGTCTGAAAAACCAAAAAACTTTTAGCACATAAAAGCTCATGATCTATTTTATCGAACGCCTTAGAATAATCTAATGATAGTGGCCAGACATTGGAGTTCTGTCTCTAATTTTGATTATCTGCATAGATAATAAATAAAATAATATTAGATAAATAAATAATATTAGATAAACTCGGTGCTACCACCATATACATAACACGTAGATAGATGAATCCCTTTCTACAGTAGGCTTATATACACGGTGTTTCCAAGACATGGGAAAAGTTCAGGGGGTTATACGATTCTAGAATTTGTTCTTTAACAGTTTTCAATATACCGTTTCTTCTCGGAGATCATCATGAAGGACATCACTGTAATTTGCTTTTTCTTAAGCAACTTAACATCGAGAAAATTTTGACAGCATGGTGCCTATGGAAAATAATTTAGTTAAAAACCGACTATACTTGGGCTATATTGTTAACTTTAGACTCTGTATAGTAACGGCCTGAAGATAATATTTTCAAAAATCCTTATCTTTTTTCTGAAAAATGTATTCTTGTTTTGTCCATTTCGATATAATTGCTCTGGTCTTCTGACTTATTGAGGATTACCTGCATTGCACAGAGTGGTAGGCAGTATTGAAATGGATAAAGAATAAGGTTTTCTCAAAACATTATTTTTGAGACATGGGTAAAAATAGCAATATTGCATTAACGCTGGTCTACCTCTGGCAAGCTAAATGAGTTAATTATTTCTCATGAACACCTTCATGCGAAGCCCTAATAACCCGCGTCGTTCATTAAGTTAGAGTTCGTAAAAGGATAAAATAGTCCAAAGAATCAACTCTTGAATTTTTGACTCAAGTTTTGGACCATATAGAATCAAAACGTTATGTAACTATTTTGACTTCAAATATATCGGTAAGCTGATAGCTGAAGAAGCTCTCTCCATATCAACCTTAATATTATAAGAAAGTTGAGAATACAAAGTTTAAGATTACAGTAAAATAATGACACTTCCAACAGAACTGACTAGACTTAAAAGTGAATAAAAAAGAAAAGACATACTTGCACTTTCTGCTAAATACCTTGCTGCCAAAGTTCGGATATTCCCAAAAAAGGATTCATCACGTGATTACAATCTCTCACAGAATTGCAATTTGTCAATATCAGTGTAGTAATAACTGTGACGGTGACAAAAAACAAATAGCAGACCTTTTTATGGTGTACACTGAGATTAAAAATAACGTAATATAACAAACACAGCACAATCTTCTACTATTTGATACAATTAATAATTTACGTCTTGTGTCTAAATGCAGTCATTATGGATTTTCGGAAAAACCTCTTTCTTTATTCAAGCTTGCCTTGAAAATCAGTTTCAAAAAGATCGTACAAATCAACAGTACCCTACCGCACAAAAAAATTGTTCTGGTGCACCACAGAGATCCGTGTTACGACCCCTGTTATTTTCGTTATATATCTCAGATTTAGAATCAGAGGTAAAATCATGCAGTATACAATTTTTTGCCGGCGATACTTAGATTTTCTATTCATTTGGGAACAATGACGTGGAAACAGCTAATAATAAAATTAATCAAGATCTTGCCCAAATTTGAAAGTTTAGTAATAATTATAATCTTCGTTTGAACCCTTTAAAGACAAATATAATAATAATAATAATATTTATTTACTCAATGTACAAAGATAACAAACAATATGAGTAAATAAATATAAAATCAAAACAGGCCCAATAGAAGGCATCGCCTGTACATGGACCAATAATTTAAGTTGAAACTGTAGAATGCAAATGACAAAAAAGGACAAAAATTAGCTACAGTAGATTATGTATTTAGTTGATGTTCGTATTTATGAGTTTAAGAATTTCAGTCCTAGATATAGAATGTAGCCACTTTTTTAAATTTCTTTTGAAACAATTTCCGAAACGTAAATCTTTTAAGTCTTTAGGTATAATTTCATAAAATTTAGGCGCTAAATAGAGATATGATCGCTGCATTATAGATTTATGCGGTTGAGGAACTACTGTGCCACGAATTTTGTACCTGGTATAATGATTATGTTTAATTTTTTGGTCGGTGTTTACAAATTTATGGTAGTGAGTGATACTGTGTAAGAAATAAAGCTGTATTATATCATACATTCGAATATCTGCATATAATTTTTCAGTGGGATAAAGTTTCGGTTTTTTAAATATCATTTTTAGAATACTTTTTTGAAAAACATCTAAATTATAGATATGTGAGGAACATGCAGCTCCCCATGCTAATATACCATATGTGAGATGAGGCTCAATCAGTGCATGGTATAATGTTTGAAGATATTTTTCTGTCAATATATTCCCAAGGTATTTAATTTTGTAGGATACAAATCTAACTTTCTTTAAAATATAATTGACATGGATGTCCCATCGTAAGTGAGGATCCAAGACCACTCCAAGGTATTTTATGTTGGGCACTCCATTAATTTGCATTTTTTGATCATTAATATTGAAGGAGGCAGATGTCTAGCATAAGATCCAAATGGTAAAAAATGTGTTTTAGAGTAGTTAATGCTTAATTTTCTACTGTTAAACCACCGAATAATTTTGATATAATATTGCAGTATCATCTGCAAAACTAATTATTTTGCCAACACAATTAATTTGGAAAATATCATTTAAATATATATTGAATAACAGCGGACCTAAGACAGTTCCTTGTGGGACACCACACTTAATATACATTTCTTTCCTAAATGATCCTGATATCTGCACAGATTGTGGGCGATTTGACAAATAACTTTCGATCAGTGAGTACGCGTTTCCTCTGAAACCAATTCTCTCCAATGCTTCTAATAATAATTTGTGATTAACTGTGTCGAAAGCTTTCTTTAAATCAACAAAAATGCAGATTGAAGGGATTCTGTTATCAATATTTTGATATATTTGATTTACAATTTTAGTTATTGCGTCCGATGTAGCCTTCCCTTCTGTAAATCCATATTGATTTTCACTTAAAATTTTGAATTTTGTGAAGTATCGAATCATTCTAGTAGATAA